ATGTTATCAGTTCTTTCTTATTCAATGATAAGTATAAAACTTAAATTATTTTGTAATAAAATTGATTGCAAAAAATTCCAATGTTTAAAACGCAATAACTAATTAAAAATTATAACTACCTATTAGAGAAAAACATGATTAGATGTAAAATTTAATGCTAATTAACACTGCCAAAAATCATTCATATACCGTTTATAGTTTTTAAGTTATTTGCATTTTTGTATCAACTTGCAATTTATGACAAACATGCAAAAACACTAAACAAAATCATCGATAACTCCAAAACTAAACACGATACAGACATAATTTTTCATCTACACATAAATAATAACAAATACTATAAAACCCGCAACATATTAACTCCATAACCTTTATTATTTAATATTTATTTAAACAAAAACAAACAAAAATGAATTTTTCAATGTTCACATCTCAACGCACTTTTAAAACCTCTGACGATAAGGCAATTGGACATCAATAAAACCAAAACCAAAACCAAAAGAAAAAACCAACGAAGAACAAAATAAATAAACGAACAGTGCCTTGGTGAAACGACGCATAACGCCATTTAGGGCAACCGGGCGCTAACTATTTCGCGGTCGGCGAGTTTCTGCCTTTGTCCGATCGCGAGCGCCGCGCCGCAACATCGCAGCCACAACTCGTGCTTAACTGCGCGCCGCACACTGCGCTTAAGCCATGCGTACTGTAAGAGTATTGTAGGTACTTACTTAGTTGAGTGAGTGAGTGACTTACAAAAGTCAGCGGAGACGCAACGCAAGTCAACGCAACTCAACGCGAGCAGTGCAAGAGAACGAGAAGAGAAGAGAAAAGAGTTTTGAGAATTAAGAAAGACCTCACAAGCGCAGTGCTGTTTCAAGAGTATAAGTATGAGTACTTAAGTGTGAATAAAAGACTTACAAAACTTACAAAATGTCACACATTAAAAGAACATTTTGTTTGTTTTTCGAGGTTTTGGAGAGTTTTATGGGGATTTTTGAAGGATAAAAAGTGGAAAGGTGTAGATAAATGTCTTAGGCATGTTTTAGTGTATTAGGAATTTTGGAAAATTTTGTCAAAAATTAGAATTTTTCAAAAAAATGTATTTTTTACGGGAAAATTTTATGTTTTTTGATGATTATTCGTAAACTATTAAAGATAACACTGTGATTTTTTGAATAGTTATAGATAATAACAATCTAGATGTTTAAACATATTTAGTTTTTCCAAATTATATGTGTTTTATAGGTTATTATTGAAAAAACCTCGAAATTTTTCGTTTTCCAAATTTTTACTTGTTTTTTGACGGTAACTTCTAAGCTACATAAGTTATAACCGCCATTTTGTACAAAAATATCAACAAAGTTATTATGCATATTCTAACGTTTGAATTTTTCCAAAATATTAATTTGTTCAAAAGTTATTGTCAAAAAACGCGTTTTTTATTAGTTTTGCGCCTGTTTTTTGACGATTTTTCCTAAAATAATCAACGGAACTATGCAATTCTTTTACAAAAATATTAACATAACCTATATACACGTTTTGACAATGAGAAAACATAAAAATATTTATAAACAATTGGTGAAAATTGCAATTTTTCCGCGTTTTAACCGATTTTAAGCGTTTATTTGCCTTAATTCGCTCTAAAAAGAAGAAAATCATAAAAAAAGTCAACATAACCACAACACTTAAGCTTACTTATACCATAAAACTGGCAACACTGTTAACCAATCACATTACAACAATAAATAACAACAAAAAACACAATAATTTTGCATTTTTAACGCAAAATTACAAATTTTATCAACAGTTTTGCCGATTTTTGGGCAAAAAAACCAACATGACTTAACTTGAGTAATGTTTACTTAGCAACCATAATTATGCACATAATAAACAATAATTGATTCTTCTCTAATGCATAACTAAAACTCTCACCTAATCTTTCTTCTTCTTTATCAATGCATTGCGTGTTTACCAGTTTTCCAGAAACGCAGCAACGATTGTTTAGCTTGTGCGTTGTCGCATAATACTTACGACAATGTCAACGCTGCTGAGCGTCGCCCGCCGGCGCAAACAGCAAACAGCAAGCCGCACTAATGAACGCGGCGCGAACGCGACGACGACGGCGACATGCCAAGGTCGTTACCGTTATCTCTGCCGGTCTGTCACGCTGCCACTGTTGCCACATCGAATACAATTAGCCGGCGTGCGCCGGGCGGTACAACACAACAACAGCGTCGTATGTCATATTAAGTGTCATATTAAGTCGTATGCTAAGTAGGCTTAGATGTGCGCATGACGTCAGACTGGCAGAGTTTATTAATATGCAGGTATGTGGTGTTTGCTTGTTGGATGTTAGATGTCATTTTGTGCGATGGATTGTGCATGATGGTGATAATAATGGTTTTCATTAATTTGTATGAAAGTCTTTAAAAGTGATTTTATTATTTTACAAGGGTTTTTGCTTATTGCAGGAGAATGGTTCGATTAAATGATGTAAAAATTAGCAGAGTTATTTCTGGTTAAATTCTGTGTTTGTTGGTTTTTGAATTTTTGGGATGTGATGATTAGTTTTTGAGTTATTTGATTTTAAAAATTGGTAATTTTGATTTAAGTAAGTAAACACAATTCACGAAATATTTTTTAAAAAGTTTATAAAAAAGTAGTGGGCGGTTCAATTTGGCTGTAAACTTGTTAAAATATTCATTTATATACGTAGATGATGTTGTATTAATAATAATTTAAGATTGCGATAGGATTCTTCGAAAATTTTGCTCTTAAACTCCAAAATTTATTGATATTTTGTGTCTCTCAGAACACTCGGGTGAAAAAATTGTTGCTACATGCAGCGTTTTCTTGATATAGTTATAAAATTTATAAAACATATAGCCTATTAAATACCTATGAGGTGTGTGAAAGAATTTTGTTAATATCTTTGAAGGTTTTCTTATTATTTTGTGTTTAAGTTGCATGATGTGATATTTCATAATGACGCAGTTGCCGTAGTTATGCATCTTTGTGCGTAAAATTGATTATAACAGTTATAATTTTCTTATCATAAAAAGAACTAGCGGAAAATATAAAGTCAATAAGGTCTTCAAAAGGTTAGTGAAAGAATTGAGTCTCTATCTTTAATAAACAACTTATAATTTATTGTTAAAGTTGAGGTTAACATTGTAGACTAATGAGTCCGTTCCGTGCTTTATGATTTTATGGAGATATTTTGTTACTACGTCTAGAGTTTTATTAATATTGAAACAAAATTTAGTTGACATTTTGTCAGTAAAATGCAAAATCGAATGTAGCAAGAATTTTTGATATATCTTCAAAGGAAGTGTTATAATTTGATGTTAAAGTTGATTATTGTTTCAATGACTGATGGCTTACTTCCGTCAATAATGTAATTTTCCAATTGGGACTCTACTAAACAAAGGGCTGTACTGTAATCTTATTGGAAATTATATAGGATTATCACCAAATAACTATTTGATAACAATACGTGAAGTTTAAAAGTTTCGTGATAATATTTCTAGGAGTTTTTGATTAATTAATAACAAGTTTCTGCATAAAAACAGTATTTTTAGAGATAATAATTTAGTTAAAGCAATGTCACGTCCAGCCCTTCTAACTTATAATTATGCAAACGTTCATAGAGTAAACCAATTAGATTATAAATATAATGCAATAAGAATTTTGACGATATTTTTAATAGAAGGGTCATAAATTTGATTCAAAGTTGAAGCGTCATAACACGTAAACTTGCAATATTTTGTTATCTCCTACTTCAGATCCTACAGCTTTAATGCCTTAGAAGATACAAGCATCAAAATTATATCAGAAAAAGTCATTTAAATTTAAAATCAATTTTTGAAGATTTTATGTTGATGACTTGGATAGAAAGCTCACAATTTATGTTTAAAGTTGAAATATTAAAATAAGCTATATTTTCTCAAACTGTTTTCTTCCTGTTTAAAACCGTGTAGCACAAAGGCCTTCAAAGTTATAAGCTTCAAAATTATAGAAATTAAAGCTTATTAATGCTAAAATAGAACTATGAAAAGCAATTCTTAATATCATTAAGGAAAAGCCCACAAAATGGTCTCAAAGTTAATAGATTAAAATGAGTTCTATGGAGTCAACCGAGAATCTCCTGCTTCAAAGCTCTGTAGCCGAAAGCCCTTTATAGATATAAACACGGAAACTGGTCAAGGGTCTTACTAATATTAGTGGTCATCATAGAACCATGTTTGATTGCACCTAGTTGCGATATTTTTCGGGTAAAATTAAGTTTTCCAAGAAGAAACAAAAAATGTTTTATAGATTCCAATATGAAACTTAGTACGAAACTTGCTCCCAATTGGAGAGTTTTAAAGATATCATCATCAAAATTTCAAGGGACATACTCAGAAAGACAACAAAACGAACAGTGAAAAGCATTTTGTAAGAGCACTATTAGTTTCCTCATAAATTGATGTCAAAGTAAAAAGAACAAATTGAAACAACTACAACCACACCAACCTAAAATCAGTAATAATCATAAGAAGCAACCTAGATCAAAAGCTCAACATAGGTCCACAACCTTCCCAAATAAACCCAATCCCATCTCTTAAAAATTATCCCCATAATCGTCCATCATCCTCCACTTTACGACTCTCATTTACGACGCCTGACCATGCCCACAGCGCCACCACATCACATCCGTTCATTTATGACCCAAATAGCACTCAACCACCAACTCCCGAACCAAAATGGCCCTACCATGACCACCCGCTCCTCAAACCTCACAACCTCACAACAAAATGGAATTCCTCTCAATTCCTACAACACAACAACCTCACGCATCATCCTTCACCGCCAAAACCTTAGGGTCCCGATCACCACACTCGCCCACACTCGTCAACTTCCGCCGTGCTTCGTGCCTCTGACGTCAATACAACCACGGCGCGCGATTGGCGCAAGGCGGAGCTTTCGTCAGGCGGGTCGAAGTCGTCGCACACGCGAAAGCTGGGACCCGGCTAGTGTGCCGAACGTCGAGTGAGTGCGCGGAGCGCCGGAGAGCACACACACCGCGATCATCACATCACATTCGGCGCCATCGTCACAGCACCCAGTGCACCAGCCATCCTCAACGGCGACGGTACCCAGCAGGACACAATCGTAAGTACCACGTTGTGAAATTTTATCCGGATTAGACCAAGCGAAGTGTAGTTAAACCGCCGGCGAACGTGCATGCAGTCGTCATTTGTTTTCTACTCTCAAACACGCATACAATGACAGCGGTGCGCAGCGCGCGCGCAGTGTTGCCAAATGTATATTCAATACATGAGTTAGAGTAGTGTGGGGATATACTACGCGTCTTGTTTTAGTCGTGTTGAGAGCATTGCACGTTGCCACGTTCTCCGCGGACGGTACGCTTCCAACAAGCAAAAGCAAACTCAACGTGAATGTGAACATGAACACAACTTCTACTTCTCGATATAACAACGTTAAACTTAAACTAGTTGTATAGCTATATATTCGTATTCATATTAACAGTGGTTGGTATAGTATTATAAGGTAAGTAGATTTCTGTAATTTTTTTTTTTGTTTTTTGTGTTTAGGAATGTTTACCCCTACTTTTGATAGCTTTTCCCCTAGGGGAGAGGGGGACATCATCCCTTTCACCAGATGCACATTTATTGCGTCCTTGTTTTATCTGTGCTGGTCCTCGATGATTTCATCCTTTTTTAGTGTGGAGGGTGGTGAATTAGAGTAAATTTCGGAGTGATTCATACGGTTTGGTGATATGATGATTAAAATTTATTTTAAGAGGTTGTCTTTTTATGATTTTGTGATTGTGTGTGTGTGTGTTGTCTTATGTTGGTATTGGTCGCGGATGGCTGCATGCGGCAAACGAGTTTTTATCAGCGGACCAGATCGAAGGACGGATAATTAGACGGTGGATTCGTTAAGGCCCATCCGGCCCCAGTTGAAAATTCCTATTCCTATGAGTTTCTTTGATGTGGTGTTTGAGGAATATGGAAGTATATTTTCAGCTGGATAATTAAATACTGTTTAATTGGGTAATTAGGGTAATTAGCTTGGGTGTTTCACAAGTTTTGTGTTAGATTCCGAAGGTGTAAAACTGAGTAATTAGTTTTAGTATTAGGAGATTTTTGGGTTGTTGGGTTGTGTGTGTTGTTGGGAACATGTGCTTTGACTTAAAATTTGAGTTTTAGTTTTGAGGGGTTGTGTGTTGTGAGTTTGGGAGATGGGCCACGGATGTTTGATGAAGATTAGAGTGGAGCGGAGGGTCGCTGTTGGGTTTTTGGTATTGCGCAGTTGTTGCGGTGCTATTTTTGGTGCTGGTGTACGAAAATATCTATCGGATGACTTGGGTTGTTTGTGGATGTGGAGATAATGTTGTTATTGTTTGAGCAAAAAATTGCTCTCTGGGGGATTTACTTCTTCTTCAACTGTTGGAGAGTTGTTAAGTAAAAAACTTGATGTTTGCTGTTTTACTGAGTATTTCTTTGACTGGATATGATAGAGGAAGCTATATTCCCACAGGAAGTCTTGTGTTGTATAGGTGATTTATTTGATTCCTAGAAATTTAATGGAAATTGCTTCAAAGTTACTTTTTGCTGAGGTATTGGTTAAAGTGTGATTATTTTGTTTGTGATGGTATAACGCAAAGATTTTTGAAGTTATTGCTATGAAACTTCTAGGAGTGTTTGTTAGATAATCTAAGAATAATATTGTGAAGTTATTTTAGAGGTATCACTCTTTTAAGTACCGAAAAATTTGATTCAAAGTTGGAGTCTCATGATGTTCACTTGTGCGAAATTGCAATCATTTTAAGTTAACGTTGATAACATGAAGGGTTTTTAACATATTTGTTTCGAATTTGCACTAGAGTATGTCTGGTAATTGTAGAATGTTGTGTCGAAGTTATTTTGGAGATATCTTGTCAGAATGTTCCAAAAATTTGATTCAAACTTTGAGATACGAAAATTGTTCCGATGGAATATAAGCAAGTTGTTCTTTTAAAGCTTTGTAACTTTGAGATTGTTAGTTGTATCATTATGGAAAGACCAAGAAGATAGAGTTTATTAATCCTAGAATACTATTCAAAAGAAATTTTGAAGATATCTTTGATGGTTGTCGTCAAATATTGATTCAAAGTTGTTGATTGGAAAACAGTCCCGGGTCTCCAAGCGCAAGACATTCACTTAAAGCTTCACTTTTAGAAGATGAATCAGTGAATCTTTCTAAAAACCATAGTGATTATAGATAGGTATATAACTATAAAAACGTGTAGTGAAGAAATTTGATTAGATTTCGGTCTTAGAATTCTCAAAAATTTGATTGAAAATTGCCATAACTTGCAATATGAAGCGCCATTATCGAAATCTTTTATTTACAGCTTCGTAACTCATTTCCTATCAAAGATATCAGTATAAAAATTATACTTGTGATAACTAGATACTCCTAGAATATTATATTGAAGGAATTTTGATGATATCATTCTTAGAAGTCTCCAAAATTTGATTCAAAGTTTCAATTTCAAAAATTGCGCAGTGGGCAACAATGGCAATCCTCCACTAAAAGCCATGTAGCGCGCAGTTGCTTAAAGTTATCGCGATAAAAATTGATACCAGTGATTCCTACATTATCTTAGAAAGCTGTGGTAAAAGAAATATCGAGATATCATATTAAGAATTGCCAAAAATTAGATTTAAAGTCACATGTTCACAACTTGACTTTGATAACAAAGACCCGAAAGCGTTTTTTAAAGCTCTGTAGCGTCCTATTTTTGAAAGATATCAACATTATTATTGTTCAGGGATATCACCAATGATAATAGCTATCCGCTAAACATGTTTGATATCATTTTCATTGTTTAATTCAGTATTAAACTGCGAATTTACGCAAAAAATCACATGGAAATTTAGTTAAAAATTGTCATAACCTTATAAAATCTTCTCTCCAGCTCAAAATTTCACTCCCACAACCATAAAATTTTATGATATCATAAATAAACTAATTAGTAATCACGTGACGAAAACCATTTTGTTCTCCAATTCAAAATTTCCGAGATATTTCACTTTTAAAAACATTGAAATTAGCATATTTTCTCAATATTCAACTTTCTAGACATACAATGACGTAAAATCTTATTATATTGATATGTCTACGTGTTATCACCACTATAAATTGTTACAAATTCAATATTCCAATCGCCGTCAGTAATATTTTCGCGCTCATGGCGTGTGTGGAGTGTTTTGAATGTTTGAATGCGTGTAAAGCTTATCTTGTTTGAATTTCACGAGAAATCTCATCACAATGAGCTCATTATGCCACCGAATAAATTTCTCCAGCTCTCTCTCACTCCCACATCCATCCATCCACAGCCTGATTCTTTTCCTCTCCGATTAACAAAATGTGCGCGCCGCGCGATTTTTAGGTAGGCGTTCGAGACAATAGGAAAAACGTGACCGAATCGTGCGCGCCGCGTTCGCACACGTCCTGATAATCTTTTGCGCACGACTCGCCGCTGACGGAAGTCTTTATTGGCTCTCGCCCGCAATCGCTTTTGGCTCGGCACATCTACGGGAATGAGCTCGTCTCTTCGTGGAAGTTGGAGCGAAGGAAATCCGAGCGGGCCGGCGAGAAACGAAAGGAAAGTTGTGTACTGTAAAACGAAAACGTTTTGCTAAATTGCGCACAGCTTGTGAACTAGGTTGTTTAAGACGGCGGCGATTGTTTTGTTCGAAAGTAGATTAAATTTGCTATAAAGTATGTGTGATGTGATTGTGTGAGCGGGTTGTTAAGTAGACAAAATGGCGTCTTAAAGACGGAGTTTTGTATGGTAATTTTTGAAGGTTTGACTTTGAGAGTTGTTATCACATAGTACATGATAAAATTTTTGTGATATTTATTTGTTTATATGGAGTACAATTAATCTGCTTTTGTTTAGTGTAAAATTTATGACGAAATACAATTTGTTTAATAAATTAGAACAGGAAGTGTGAGACGTGTCTGGACATATAAATAAGTAATAATTCACAATCTCATCTTTTACGTGCTGTAAAACATAAACAAACAGAGATATACAGTAACAAATGGTATAATGTGAAAGATAATTTAATTTCCTATAAGATTGATGTATTGCATCACCAAAAACTCGAAAGCGTCACCTTTAAATTCAACAAAATGGTGGCGATGTTTCTCGAGTTTTCGTAAACACGCAGTGATAGTACCGCTTCAAAGTTAAATAACTCTATGGATTTTATTGATATCACCATGAAATTTTACTATAAGAAAGGTTATAAAATGTACTTTTGGGTGATGTATTTTGTTTTTTAGATTTTTGTTGATTTTACTTACAAAATGGACGTTTTTGAGGGTACATGTCGTAAATACGCTATGGAAATTGTGTTTTCAATCAGTTAAACTCGATTTTCGCATTGAAATAATTTGTTTAAACAAAATATTTTTATATATTCTTGAAGCTTAAAACATTTACTATAAACCACGTTTATTTGTTTGATAAAATTTTGGTTGTTTCATTAAGAAAATGGCGTCAAAAGTTAAAATTACTTTTGATCGGCTCCGAAATTTAGTCATAGTTCAATCGTCCGCCATTTTGTAATAAATAACTTAGATAGAAAACTGTATCATTCATCTGAAAGGGCATTTAATGCACTTTCTAACGGTATAATAATTATAACAAAACGTTATAAACAAAATATGAATATGTCGTCTTGAAAACTTGGTTGCACACGCCGTGAAAGTAAAACGAAATATTATTTTGCTTTATTTTAAGGCATCATATCTTCTTAATAACTATATCTACTAATATAATTTTAACATTTATGGAAAGCTAGTTTAATAACCTTCATAACAATATAAATAATTTTTCTTAAGCACCTATATTTAAAGAGAAAATGGCGTTTGAAGTTAACATCTACACCAAAAACACGTTTACGTTGTGTTAAAAGTTGATTATTTCTACCAAAACACTATTTTGTTATTAATATTAATACCTTAAAAGACAACTATTGAGTTGTGCAAATGAATACTATAAATTTCTCGCCGAATAATTATATATTTCTAACATTAAACCTCCTTTTAAAGTTCATAAACACCATAATCAGATACGTAAATATTGCTTTTCAAACTTTAACAGTTAATAACTTTATTAACAACAATCATACAACAATGAAATTCACATATAAACATTCACAATTAACTACTTTATCATAAATTCACACGAAATTATCACTAGAATACACCAAACGTCTACAAAATGGCGTTGAAAGCGTGCATGCAGTAAAGGTGTGGCCCACGCGCAATATTACACCACAACTTGACATCGCAATAAAACGACAGTCATAAACACCAACAATAAACAATTTACACCATAATAAAGCACATTTAATACTCTTTACAACCACATAATCCACAACTCATAAATACATCATTATCATCTTCAAAATGGCGATTGAAACAAAAAACACAAAAATTTCTTGTGTTTAACATCGTGACACTTTGTTTATTTTTAACAAAAAAACTAATAAAACAATAAAAAACACAAAAACAAATTATACCACTAGAAAGTACATTAAACATAGAATAAGTTAACACTTTTCAAATTTAATTTATCTCATCGCATCACAGAGAAAATCAACGACAAAATGGCGTGTTGTTGAAATTCCAACAACATTCAAGTTGAATAAGTAATATTCCAGCGAGTAAAATCGGAAAATCAAGCGTAGCAACACACCAGGCTGCGCGGGGGGAAACACGCCGAGGAATACGTCGATAAAACGGCGCCGGCGGTTTAAACAATGCGAGCGTAGCGCAAATTGTATCCACAATCCACACGCGCGTATACAAAAGTGATGATTTCATTCGATCAGCGATAAGTTATCAACGTTATCGTTATCAGTTTAGTCACTTATTCAATGATAAACAATCGTCACATAAACGATTTTCGCTTTTTACATGTTTAACCAGTCGCCATATTTACGCGGGAAGCCTTACAAAACCTCTTCTTGGATTCTCAGCCTTCGAGGCTTAAAATGTAAAATGTAAAATGAAAACAGGTTTGATGGAACAGAAACGAGTCGAAATATTCCACATCCACACATATAGACACATACACAGAGAGAAAATAAAGTCTTTAGTAATGGTAGTAGTGGTTAATGTTATTGCAAGTCTGGGAGCTGACATTAAAAGCCTTCACATTACTTTTTCAGAGTCAGTGGAAGTAGAAAAACAAAAAGACGTTATTTATTGTTATTCGGAAGGTTTGAATGCGGTGGTAAGTGAGTTTGAAGGTCGCAATTTGTTTAGAACCACGTGGGCGCGAAGGGCCGCGTAGCAGGAGCGCAGAACCGGAGCAGAGGTGGGCGGGTCCCTTGCTTGCTCGCGTGAGTGCAAGAGCAAAAGCATGCGGTGCTTTTCTTCCACGCTGCTCCACCGAGCGAGCTTTTGTGTTTGTAAGCCTAGAGGAGGAGCAAACATCTGCTGCTATTATAAGAGAAACTGAGATAGGGAGAATAGAAAGCGTGGATATCAAAATAAGGGTTCTGGATGTAGATGTAGATGGGTTTTTTGCAGAGGGTGAGGATCACTCCAGACGTGATTAAATCTAGGGTGGATACCGACCCCAACGACCAATCGACGTACATTTATTACTGGAAATCAAATTTTGTTTTGGTTTTGTTTCAGATGTCCTCGCTGGAAATCCAGACTCCAAAGGAGTTTACTTCATCATCATCTTCATCAGCACGTGAGAAGAAGGTTCTTCTAAAGGACCTGAATTCTCTCCTCACGTGTACACTGTGTAATGGATATTTCATCGAAGCGATGACTTTTGATTCCTGTTTACATTCATGTAAGAAAAAAGCTCTAGAAAGCTCTCAGGTGTTTTAATAATTTATGTTTAGTCTGTAGAAGTTGTGTGCTTAACCACTTCGAGACCACCAAACAACAGACATGTCCGAAATGTGACAAGAAGAAAGCTTTCTTCAAGTAAGTCACTATAACCTCACTTCTAAACCCTTATAGGTTTATTAATTATCTCCTCCCTTGTTTTGTATCACTATCAATAGACCTGATCATCAACTGCAAGCGCTCGTTTATAAAATGGTCCCGGGGTTATTCGGGAAAGAAACCCAGCGACGTGAAGATTTCTACAGGAGTAGCATGCGTGCAAGTAGCACTTGCAGTGAAGATAGTGTTCTTGGAGATGTACAGAAAGACCAAGCTAAGTGGTTGTTACAAAGTGACGGCCCTTCAGGTCGGGATACTTTCTTCAGCCCAGAGGACCCCATATCTTTATCCTTAGAATTCTATCAACTACATTTGGATGATACTAAAGAACTTGATCACAAGTTGAGTATGGTTTGTAAACGCACAAGACCCGAGGTGGATCTGATTAAGAAAGAATCAGATTGTGATAAGAGTGAGAAAAAGGTCAAAGCGGATCGGAGGTATCTTCAGTGTCCAGCGGCTGTATCCATGTCACATCTACAGAAGTTTTTGAGGATGAAATATGCGTTATCATCAGAACACAGGGTAAAATTTAAGAAAAAAATTTGAAAATTTTTATGTTTTTTTGTGGTTATGATGTTTAGGTTGATATCATCTACGAAGGGGAAGTGTTACCCTTCAGTTATACTCTGATGGACGTGGCCTACACTTACAACTGGACAAAGGTAAGTCAGAAATTTATTCTTTTGTTGTTTGCGGTTTTTGTTGAGTGTGGAATCGGAAGCCGTAGGAGGAAATGAAGAATAATGACTACCTTCTTCTTGTATTCTTCTTCTATTGTCAATTATTCACGGTCTGCGGGTATCTACCTACAACTACAAGTTGTTGACTCTTCTCTTACTCAGTTAATTACTTATGTTTACTGTTTACGCTTATATTTCTCATTCATGGTGGTTTATTGATTATTTTTTTTATTGAATTGATGTTCTTCCATCACCAGCGTTGTAGAATTCTATCGAGTTGTGAGACCGCGCGCGTCGCGGCAGTCTCGCGCGCCGCGAACGTTTTCAAGGCTTTTCGGTGTGCGCGCAAGTGCGCAGGTTGTTGAACTTGGCGTGCGTTTCCACATTACTCCTCATTACGCCGCGCTCGCTGGAGAGTTGTGTTGTATATGTATTCGCTCAACGCTGCCGACTGTTTCATATCATATTCCTGTGTGTAATCTGTCCGCAGTTGAAACCCATGCGGTTTTTCTATCGCATCTTCACTCCCTTGAAGGTCCAGCCCATCAAGATCATCAATACGTCGAGTAGTAATGGTAGTAAACAACTTCAAATAGTCCCGGTGAGATCTACGAGTAATAATACAACTAATACGGTTGATCTGGAAGCGGAAAAGAGTAAAGAGCAGTTTGTTGCGCAATTAAAGTTGCAATCGAAGCATAAGAATGGGAAAGCGGTGATGGGTTCCACCGCGGAAAATTGCGTGTTTGAATATGCGGAAGCAGACGAAGAGATTAAGCGGTTTGCGGAGAGTAGGGATAGGGAATGGGCTAGGATGAGGCATGAAGATGTTGTTGAACCACAAAATTCAAATTTACCTTCTTCTGTGGTTGTTCCTTCAATAACTCCTCAGATTAGTAATGATGGGGTGATGATAGAGGGAGGGGGTTCAAGTCATCATGTGAAGAAGCGGAAGAAGTCCAAACATTCAAAGGGTGAGGCTAAGAAACCTAAGATTCATGCGGAGATTACCAGTGAAGTTGTCCTACAACAACAGGAGAGTATCAAACTCAAGGTTAAGTTGACCCCTGCGCATCAACATGGGCATAATGGGCATAAACATAAACATAGGTCACCTCCTGTTCCTCCTTTAACTCCATCTACTACTTCTACTCCTGTACAACATCAACATCAACAACAAACCCAACAACAACCTCCTTTGGTACCTAAACCTATTTCTACTCCCCCACAAGTTCCTTTACCCATTAAAACCCCACTGGAAGTGAGAAAACCTGAACCCGTGAAGAAACTTCACGATGTCTGTATCAAAAAAGCAGATAAACACCTGGAGACAACTAAAAAAGATCCCAAGAAGTTAACTAGTGAGAAACCTACGAGATCTGACCTGAAACCTCATCCCTCGCCTGTTTTAACCATGGATATCAAGAAGAAAGAAGAACAAAAGGCGTTTCTTAAGACATTTCAATCTGGTACCAACGCAAGATCACAGCCCATCACGAAAGTCCAATCGCCTAATAAAGCAGACTCGAAAAAGCCTATGATCACCTACTCCAACCACACCAAACAAAACTTCGATAAGAAGATAGCGTCACTCAAACAACAAGCGTTGAACAAACAAAAGTTGGACCTAACTACAACTCAGAAAGAGAAGAAGGTTTCTTTCTCATTGGATAAACCTCATATTCTTAACTCCCAGCAGTATCCTAGTGGGTTTACTGTTAGTAAAGTTGAACAAGGTATCAAGAGGAAACAAGAATCTGATCCCCCGGTTGAGAAAAGACCTTGTTTGGAGATTACTCTAATCAACCCCAAACCAGAATCTCAAAGTTTAAATCATCAGAACTCTAAACCCAAACCACCTGCAAGTCCTGCCCCACATCGAATTACTACTACTACTACTAGTGATCCCCCGAAAGCAAAGAGACCTCCACCTGCTACTATACCATTAGACCGCATCAAAAATCCAGTTTGAAACATAAACCTGAAAATTCTCAACAAATCCCAGGAGGTGCTTTAGACCTGACCAAGAAGATAGAACCTGTTAAAAATGGTATCACAACTTTGAACGGGATGAAATTCCCGAGTCCTATCACAACTTCATCTTCACCTACAACCCCACCTACCATGTCCCTGACGGAGAACCTTCAAATGTTGTCCAAAGTAGCTCTACAACATTCAAGACAACAAGCACAACAAAACAAACCTAGACCACAGATTCCCAACCTACAAACCCTTCGGATACCGCATGTGACCACATCAGGGACAACTCCAAGTTCAACTCCTACGAATACTCTAGCTAGGAGTCCCAATCAAGCAACTACAGGATCTTCTCCTCAAAGGAGTATCCCCAACCTGGCGAATTTACCCAAATTGAATGAGATATCAAAGTCTAATTTAAAAATGTTGAGTAATCACAACAATAATTTGAATTTAAAAAGATCGAATAATAACAACAATCAGAATATGATCAGGAGTATCCCGAATCCTGCTCTGCTGGTACGACAACATAATCAGAGCAGGATGAGTTTGACCAATGGACAAGGTCAAACCCAAGGTCAAAATTCGAATCAAACACAAGAAAAAGAAAAAAATCAACCGAAGATTCTAAATCCTTTAGCGAAGGAAAACACAACTACAACCACAACTACAACAAAAGATAATAAAGATAATAAGGATTTGTTTAACAATACAAAGACATCCGTAATGGATAAAATGATGAATGATCATAACAAAGCCCTGGTGGCGCAGATGGCTGAGTCAACAACAGCAGCAACATAATTTACTAATGTTTCTAGTAAAATTTATTTTGTTCCTAAAGATATTTTTCTTTTTATTAATTTAAATGTAATTTAAGATGGAAAAGTGCAAAGTGTAAAATCTTTATATTTACTTAAATGAATTGAGTTGTTACCTGTTTTTCTCTGACGAGATTTGTTTATTTAGGTTTATGCTATCATTTGTACTTGCAATTGTATATAGGTATATATATATAAAATATTATATAGAGTGTATACTTAAGTTAAGTATACTTAAATGACTCGTTTTTAGATGGATATTCTCGTAGCGTGTACAATTGAGTTGCAAGTTGACTGACAACACATTTATACCTTTACAAAAATTATATAGGTATAGGTTTAGAACACCCTGTTAGTATGTATAGTATACTAATGCTAAAATACTAAACTTTATGTTGTCGAATATTGCGGTGTAGTAATATTTACATACACATTTATTGATTTGTGTAATTAATAAGAAATTTATAGCTTACGATTGATACGAGTGATTGTGAATTTTTGGGGTGGAATGATGTGGAGATGTGATGAGGGTGTATAAAATTATTAATTAAGTTTTGACTTAATTGCTAGTTGATGTCGATTACATAAAATAAAATGAGTACATTTAAAAAATTAAATGTAAATTTATCAAAGCAATAATTGACTGTTTTAAGGAGAATCTTAAAAGGTAAGTGTGTAATTTTTTTAAATTTGGTTTGTACTTTTAAGGGTTGTAATTAAGGGTGATTATGAATATGAATGAAAATGTTTGAAATGTGCAGTAGTTTGGAGTGTTTGGATGTGATTATAAGGGTTGTGGGCTGAACAAAGAGGGAGGACGTCCAATGAGGGTGTGTTGGAGAGGGATGGAGAACAAAGGGTCGTCGAGGGTGGTGGTAGGGGAAAAGGGAGCTTTGAAAGCGAGGGAATTTTGTTCTGCGTTACGCTGTTACGCTACGCACTTTCTTTCTGTGTTGGCGCTTATTGAGAGCTTTGGGACGGGAAATGTTCGTGTTTTCATATTGCTACCCTTATTATCAACCCTTAAATTACTTTTTGTATTTTAAATTTAATTTGTTTTAAATTTTTAATGCTTTTTTTTAGTTTCAGACATCTTCTAAAGTTGTTTCCAGATATTTTCGTATTTTATTTGATTTTCTGCGATAATATAAGCTTTTATTTATTGTAACTTCAATAATTTAAGAAGTGGAGATCATAAATTAAGTATACTTAGCTGCTTACTTAAGTATACTTATCTACTGCTACTGTGAAAATGTGTAAGTAATACCTATTGCGATTTATGTTGCACATTAATCACTTACAAGCTTATAACTTCAAGATGGCTACTTGTATGATCATGGGATTTACAACAAATAATCTTTATTGAATTATCTATCCAATGACATATTATTATATTCATTATTATTTTAGAGTAACTACTTAATGAGTTATCAAGCTTCGAAATTTAGGTAATTCATTTTTTCATCGCGTTTTTCGATATCGTAAAACAATTAATTTTTGGAACCAATATTACAGCCCATTTTAAGTATATAAATTTTTTCAAACAAGTCATCTCTTAAATCATTAAAAGCTCTATCTCCTGATATAAAAATCAATTCTCCATCTTTTTTAGTTTTCGAGTTACAGCTGATTTTGTGCTAAGACAATTTAAATTTGAACGCAAATTCAACGTGTTACTTAAACTTTCATAACTCTTGAATACTTTATTATAAACATTTTAAATTAACATCAATAATTCTCACTTAAATTCTCTATCTAACAACATATCACTCAACTTCCTACGTCTTTTATCTGCAAAGTTTCAAGACTTTAAAAATGACCAAACATTATCAACATATTATTCGACACACTTTAATACCTACACAACACTACTTAAACTCTTATATCCTGCGAATGCTTTTATGTATACTCTTTAAATTAACAACAATCATTCCTACTTTAATTACCTATGCAAAAACATGTTACTCAACTTTCTACGTCTTTTATTTCCAAAGTTACAAGACTTTAAAAATAACGGACAATTTTTCTATTTATTTTTCTATGCACTTCTATAGCTATACGTTACACTATGCGCTTAAGCCATACGCATGCGTATGTGACTTAAATCAAAGCATCAATTCCTCATCATGAAGAACAAAAATCAATTCTCTGTCTTTTTTAGTTTCCGAGTTACAACTGATTTTGTTCAGTAACAACCTAAATTAAAACAAAACAAAAATTCAACTTTTTACTTAAACCCGTCTATCTCCTAAACGCTTTCATATAAACAAATAAAATTAACAGCCATTATTTCCATTGAAATTTCCTATCAAACAACATATCACTCAACTTTCTACCTCTCTTATCACCAGAGTTACAACACTTCAAAAACAACCAAACATTTTCAACCTATTTTCTATACCTATACATTACACTATACATTTATTTAAGTCATACCAATGCGTATGTGACTTAAATTAAAGCATCAACTCCACACTCCGAAGAATGAAGCCCAAAGTGACACTCGCACTCACACACACTCACCGCGGTTGGCACACGGTCGGCATTCATCGCCACGCACTGGCAGCGAATGGGAGCAGCCATGAGAAAGCAAAAAGCGCGCGAGCGGCGCCGATTGTGTCGTCACGGACGCGTGGACTCATGGCACGGTATTTTATACAGTTTCGCCCGACACCATAAACCAACTCAACTCATGTGTTAACATTCGATTCGCTAAAAATATCCCACGCAAGTGACTTAAGTCACTAAGTCACACACGCATCAAAACTCATCAACATTTAATCACATTTTATTCACCCGATAATGTTTATGTTTACTTCCAGCGAGTAAGTAGGTATTCGCTAAGTCAGCGAAATGTGTGGCTTAAGTTCGCGCTGACTTGACTTAACTCACTTCACTGCTTCGGTCGACATTAGACATTAGTGTTGTGTTTACGTTCGCATTTTCTACTCTTACACTCACATGTGTGATGTGTGCTAATGTTAACACACACCCATCAAGTTGACTTAACTTAAGTCACTTGGAGTAAGTGAGTGCGCATGTGTGGGTTTTTCGTCCGTTCGTGGATTTATTTATAAACTACGCGCGTGTTTGCGTTCTCTGTCTCTGGACGCTCACACACACACTCATGGGTTATAGTAGAGTGTGTGACTTAAGTTAAGTCAGACAGGCGCAGTGAGTGTGCAGGCATTCGGCGGAACCTTGAAATAGAAACTATCTATAGTCGCCGGCGAACGACGAGTCGCAACAACTCGCCGCGACTCTCGCGAGCTTTTTTCTTTTTTTATGTGAATGTGTGAGTGTGGATATGTGTGTTTTACGTTGCACGTTTGATGTTTGATGTTTTTTTCAGTTTTATTGCGCCGATTGCGGCGCGAAGACAAAATGAAGTAAAGTAAAAAGTAATGAGCTTTACCGGAGTATGAGAGCTTTCGAGTTGAAAGAGCCGTTGAGAGTTGTGAGACGTGTCGAGTGGCCTGCGGACTAACTAGCTGAGTGACATTACTTAAGTATTTACTTAAGTGAGCTTTTAGCGAAAAGCTCACAGTAAAAGCTCAAAATAATTTGATTAACTTTTAATTAATAATTAATAAAATCATTTCTTATAATCACATTTTAATAATTTAATACCAAAATATAAAAAAAGCTTTTTGAGCTTTTTTGAGCTTTTTACAATTTTTTATGATTAATATTTTTTTATTATCTACAACGTGTTTATGCTTGGAAATATTTTACGCTTGGGATGTGATGTGATGCAGTTTCGTGAGCTTTCGCTGAAAGCTTTCGCTGTGTGTGCTGGTGTAGTACCTAGCTGCAGGCATCGCGCGCGTCTGGCTGTGCGCCGCGCGGCGCAAATGGGAAATCCATAATTCCGAGTCGAATCAGTAGGCGTCTACTGCGGCGCGCCGAAAGCGAGGGAGCTTTCGCTCGCGCTTTCCACGTTTCCACCACTGTTACCTATCTACGTAGTATTCGTAGATATAGCATATCACTTGAAAGGTTTCTTTCAACGCTTGTAGGTAAACGTGGTCTTTGTTTAAGTTACCTACTTATTGTTTAATGGTGAGCTTTTGATGAGCTTTTGAAACTTTTTAAATTGTAATTTAATAATGACTTAAGTAGGTATTAATGAAGGTAGAGAGGGAGGTGATTATTCTGAAGAGCTTTTGTCTTGTAGAAAAAAACTCTGAAGTGCAAATCATGTGCAAAATAGAGGAATCTTTATGAATGCCATAATATTTTTGCAATTAAAGTGATAATACGATAGTAAAAGAAGAATGAAGAAGTGGCAGTTTATGAACAGAGCTTTTTACCGATTTCTGCATCAAAGCTTTAGTTTTTACTTTAATTTCACAAGTTTTAAGCTTTTAAGGTCTTAGAAACTAAAGTTTTACTTTTTGTTTGCATTGCTTTAATGTCAGCTAAGCTGTAGGTACCTAGATACACCTACCTAAGCTTTTCTTCTACTAGTATCTTACCTACGCATAAAAGCTCAAAAGTGCAGAATCATCTGAGACTCGTAAGTGCTTGATACAAGTCTTTGTAATCGCCATAATGGTTTTATAATTAATGTTGATACCTACACTGATCGTACAGTGAATAATAACTACTTGTGGTGTAGTTGGGAAAAGCTCAAAGCTCAAAAGCTCATCAGTTGAAGAAAAACTGCAAATTCGCGAAAATTCTCCAAATTTTTACCAATTTAATCCCCAAATTTCTTAAAAATTCCCCAAAAAATATTTTCTGACTTCTTTCTTAAAAAAGCTCTTGTCCCTATAAAGTTCCTGCTATATTCTAACATTCTCCAAACCCAAAATTTGAAACTCCCATAGCTCCTAAACTAACCATCCAAACACAACGCCCTTTGAAACCCCACACGTCCTTTTCCTACTCTTGCAAAATCCGTTTACACCATATTTTTATCTCTTTTAGTTTCTGATTTATAAAATTACAATTTCAAGTGTAGAATCTCGTAGATTTCGGGTGCATCGACCGCTCGCACTCACGACGTCACACGCTGTTCGTCCGCTGCCAGCCAGCTACGCTAGATGGGTGCGACCAGTCCAACCATACAGCGCTGCTATTGGTCCCCAGCGTACAGTCAGGTCAACGCACCGCGCGTTTTCTACGCGTGTGAACCAATGGTGTACCTGCGATCTAAATTCGCTACGCCCTGATTGGCCCTTTACTAAATCAGCTATAACTTAAGTAATTTAACTCAGAAAATTATGAAATTAAAAATATAGTGTCATAACATCCCAAGGCATCGATTAGTACTAAAATATTTTTAATATAAATAAAATTTTATGTTTTATGATGAGTTGATATATTTAATATTATTATAACATGTAGGTTTAGAGAGTAAAATAATGTAATTTTAAGTGTAGTAGATGTTTGGGAATGTGGAAGAAATTTAGTGAATTCAGTGCGTTGTTATTTTAAGTTTTGATGACATTATGATGACGATGACGACAACGAGCAGCGCGAACAAGGTTTATGACCCAACTTGACATAGAAAGCGAGTATTGATCCGCACCAACTCGTACACCATGTCCTATAAAATTCTCTTACTGCCAACAGCGCCCTCTATACATTTAAAACACAAAACTCTTACTATAAACATAAACGCAGTAAACTGT